TACTGCACTCATTGGTATTTAAGCTGGAGGTTAAATTATTTAAATATAGTTATTATATATAATTATTATATATGTGTATATAAACTATGCACACGTGTGATAAACTGTGTCTGGTAGTGAGAATCAAAGCCAGTGTCTTGCATTATATAAGCAAGTTCTTCACCCCTGAGCTACTCTGCAATCCATAATTGCAAAGTATTTTTAACAGATGTAGTCTGTATTCATCGTTTGGGGCTCCCTTTTACTCCCTTATGGATAAACTTTTTTCATAGTAATTTTTAAAATATCATTACTGGAATACTTCTTAAAATGTATTTAATTCTCTTTTGATATTTCAATACACATCATTATGAAAAATAACATACTCATACATGAATACAAAATAAAGTAATTAAATTTGGAATTTTATCAACAATGATGTTTTCTTCTTTTCAGAAGTGGGAGAATGAGCAATACATGTCTGGGACGTGCACTATCCACATGTATATCATCTTATTCTAATAATTTTTTCAGAATCCTATGGTGCTATGGTAACTCAGCAATTGGTACTTATTAGATAATCTCAGCTTTGAATATTTATCTCTCAGAGAATGCAGCACACGCCTTCCAACAAGAAACAGGCCCGTATCATTTGCTCCAAATGTTATTCATTGCACAGTTTTGTTTGACAAGTTTAACCACTGAGAATGTAACATTAATAGTGAACACTTGCGAATGTCTGCTTAGCTTTTTAACAACTGTCTCCTAACACTTTCTACATGTTTGAATCCGTTTGTTTTAGCTGAGGATACTGTAACGGCTTCATGAATGAGATATATTTTGAAGCTGTCATTAAAGCACCCGCTCATGTTCAGAGCAATGAAAGTAACATGCCCTCTGTTTCCTTGGCTTGTACTCATAAAGAAGTAGTTTTTAAAGGGAGCAGAGCTATAGAACATTGTGCCTGATATAATGTAATCTCCACTATCACACAGTTCACTCCCAACTTACCACAGGATGCCACTTCATCTGTCTGGTCCCCACAGTCGTCCTCCCTGTCACACAGCCATGCTGTGGGAATGCAACGTCCATTTCCACAAGAAAACTGGTCAGTCTGGCAGGTTCTGGCTATGATGATCAATCAATACACAAAGAATAAGTTCAGAGACTTTTTGAGTGACAATTATAGTGTAACCATGCAATCTCTGTTTTACACAAAATATATATTTTTTTATTAAAATAATACTTTAAAAGTAAAGTTTTAGTTAATATTTCATAATTCTAGCTTATTCTCTTTTCTAAAATAACATGCTTTGCCTTTCAATTAAAATGGCCTCTAGGGTAATTAATATTCCTCAAACAATTCCATAAATGAAGCACTGAAATCAATATTTAAAATTTTTCCAAGTACATGCTTATGAATATATAAATAAATTAAAGTTTCGTCTAATTTTAACAAACAAAATTGCATAGCATTTGCCAGCAAATCAAAAAATACTGTTTCTGTAACACATGAACAAGCCCGTGAGGCTGTTCAGTGTGTCTAGTTTCTAATCCTGACTCAGCATTGCACCTTTCCTCTAACATTTTCTGTGTGCCTAGTTCTTCATCTCTAAATAGTCCACTGTATTGAGTGAGAGCAGAGAAAACATTTTCTAGAACATACACTTAAACTTAAGACTTTTAAAAATGGATTTCTTGCCCAGCTATATAAGTAAATGTGTATTTTAATCAAAGCATACTGATGAACTTGTGCTTTGGGCTGGCTAAGGGTCTCAATGAACACAAACATTGAACCTCACTTATAAGGTTGCCAAAGGCTGTGTATTAAAACATTTTGGCAACAGGGTTATGTTCTGCAGGGAATGTTTTCCCTTTTTTTTGTTGTAATAAGGACAACTTTTGAAAGCCTGAGACTTTACTTGTTCTAGTCCCTCTTGCCCTAGGCATTTGGTTGGTACATATTAGATAATTTAATGTTTAATTTTTACTTTATTTCTTTTTTTCCATTGAAAACAAATACGTCTTGAGTGGGTGTACCCCACTGCCTTTTTCCTTTCATGTGAATAGAGGGAGAATGTGGGGGATGTTGGTGAGGTGATTCTTTTTAGTTCAAATATTTTGGTTAACTGAACTTTGAATGGATGAGTGACAGCTTAGGTTCTGAGTTTCTGTGCCTATAGATTTCTTCTTTCCTAGGTTTAAGAATCGTAAAGATATTTTTCTCTGGTCCATTAAGTACCCTGTGTACTTAGGTGCTGATTCTTTGTATAGAGAGTGCTTCAAACCGAAATCAACCATGTATCCAAAAATCTGGCTTAGAAGTCACTTGAAATATTTTTTTGCATAAATATGCATATACTCAGATAAAGATGTATGACCACTGTTAGTGAATATTTTGTAGGTTATTAAAACATCAAATTGAAAACGTACTGCTTGATTTAATGCAGGAGACTAAAATACTCTTTCCTCAATAATAGTATCTGCAATTACAATAATTAGGAAAATTATTACAGTATGTATTTTGCTTTCTGTGGATAAAGCTTTAAATCTCAAAGATTTTATGCAATACTTATTTCTTTCCATTTTTCAGACTGATAATTTATGTTAAATTAACATTTTTTGACTGATGTGTAAGGTTCTCAAGTTTTCAGTGTTAAAATTTTAAACAAAATTAAATATTTCTACATCACAGACTCATTTGACATACTCTACAGATTTTTTTTGTTAAATTATATTAATATTCAGAATAAACTTAATGAAAGTCTTAGATTGTTTTATGTAATTATTCTTTTTGGAAAAATGGATATTTATGTAAACTTAAAGAATAGTGCAGAGCTATCCCGACACAGTCTTAGTTTATTTGGTGAAATGGTAGGAACAGAGATGTGAGGGAGAATAATAATCCCCTTTACACATTTCTGTATTATTTCACTGTTACAGCCATTTTCTTTTTACCCTTTGGATTTTAAGTGAAATTTAATGAGAGATTTTTCCTTTGTTCTTTCATTTCCTTATCTCCTCACGTCTCCTTTTCCCTTTGTTTTACTGTCTTTTCCTCTTTTTGTTTCTTTTCATTATTCTTCATTTTCTTTCTAATTTAATTTCAGTGTTTCTTGATGTTTCATTTTAAATGAAAACATCATAGATTTAATCTCCATTTACATATAATTCAGTCACAATCATAATACATTAGATTCATCCAACCCATCATCCTTTAATTTGGTAGGGTTTTTTTCAATACATCCTCTTCTAGTAGTACCTCCTTGGTGTCTATCAAAGCTTTCTGAGACTATTTGCTTTCATTAGAGGAAAAATAAAAAAGAGAAATCTAAGCCTAATTTATACTGTGCAGGTCCCGTCGTCGTCATGGCTGGAAAGGTGTGCACTGCTACAGCACGTCATTGAGGCTGGTGGAGCTACTACAATCTGTGACTTCAAGCATCCTCCACATCATTATTGAAGGCTATTATGATCAGAACGAGTGTGAATTTACTAGCCCTTCCAATCATGGAGAAAAAACTCTTTTCATTTTCTGTCAGAGAAATTCAACTCATTTCTGATGAGAACGATTTTTGAATCCTTAAATCTCTAAGTGCAACTTTCTGGACAACCAGATTGACAGAATTAGCTCTTTCAAATCAGTGGGCTCCCATAAAGAACACACAGCATTTTCTTTCTCAGTCTTTGTCTACATCAGATGTGATTAGCTTGAAGGTGATTGCAGGAGAGCAGCCCCAGAGGACTCTGGTTTTACTGCAAACGCTGCTCTAAGAAAGACTAAATTGGCACCTTCTGCAGAATTTTTTATCGAGCGATTGAATCAGAGATTCACTGTGACAATGTGAATGTTCCTGCTCATCATTGACATACAGTAGCAGTGAGAAGCCCCACAGCCCACAAGAACCTGCGAGGGAGACATCTGGAACCAACATGGTACCCATATATTTTGCTCTTGCTTCGTTTTAACCAAAGCATTCTATTTAGAAAAAACATGTCAAGTCGTACCACGCATTAATCATAGCACTTGGGAGAAGGAGGTGGGAAGATCATGAGGTCAGTATTGAGCATGAATAGCTGTTCTCTCCGTTGTGATTGTTCTCCTAGGCCCCTTCTCCAGTCTAGTCCCCTAGTATCCACTTCATTCTTGCCTGTATGCTGGGCAATTGGTCTTTTTTTCAAGTGAAATGTTTCTAGCACCCAGTTATGATACATAAACTGAATACTTGTTTTTGTCATGCTAGCATTAATGTTTTAGTATTTCCTTTGTTTATTTAAGGAAAATGGATTACAGCTACATGTTATGTACCCCATGAAACCTTTCCCAACCACCCCTCCTGCTTTTACTTTATTTTCCCTTCCAGGAAGAATATTGAGTTATTATTTGCACACCTTATGCATTTGTAAACAATACCTAGAATTATTTTATGGATTATGTTTCTTGTAAGTAGTATTGTTACATTCTTTAACTTTCTGTGTAATATTTAAAAATTCGTTTTTGTTGATATATGAGTACTGGCTCACTCACTTTAATTATGAATAGCAAATACAGAATTTTATCCATTCATTATTCTATTGATGGACAATTGAGTTGTGTTTGGGGTTTGATTATTCCCAGCACTCAGGCAAAGAACACTTGTGCACAGGCATTAATAACAGTGGAAACCTAGAAACTGAAGAATTAAAGCTACGCAAATACTTGAACTTACTGAATTTAGGCAAATTGTCTTCCAATGTAAAAAATAAGTTTATATATCTTCCAAGGTTACATGACAGGTCCTTCTCCATTCCTTATTCCCCCCAATATTGCCAATCCTTGGTTTTATTAGATTCTGTAATTTTCCTATGTAAATGGATTTTAATATTACTGAGGAATTTTCCCAATTATTTTCAGAGGTTTAACATTGCTTCCTTCAGGAATTCTTCCCAAACAAATTTTTTACTCTTCTTAGGAGCCCAGTGTGATTCAACATTGCGCTTTGTGAACTGCATTCAAATGATGGGCAGATACGTCTTTTTCCTAGTCCTCTTTCTCAGTTTATGCATAAAAGGTACTATGAGCATTAAATCACAGCTGATAATTGTGCTTGATACATGTCTGTTGAATTAATAGATTGGTGTGGAAAATCTTAAAGGAAGAAATCAGAAAACTGGCTTCTTGTTGGAAATTAGTCCCATTCATCTACAGCATAGTCACAGTGTAAAGTGATATAGAACAGAGCAGAAGTCATGACAAACAGCCCTCTGCCTTGAGTCTTTTTGCCTAGGTCATATGTTCATGTAACAATTATATTTAGGTTCTGGGGAACACTCTACAAGTATTTACTACTCATTTTTAGAATGGTAACATATATGAACTGCTTATTTTGGTAAAATGAAATTAAAGCACATTGTAGTATAACAGCATATTTCAGGGTTTTGAAGACAAAAGACATATTTATTTTTCTCTTCTTTCAATTTTAGTTTTAAGGGACCCAGGAGTCACACTACCTGCCATGAAGGTATTAACATGAATACTCTGATATAGCAGTGAATGAACATAACTTGAAATGGCATTCAGCATGTTTTATCTATTTCTTAGTGATCTGCAAGATTTCAGTGCCTTAGAAATTATACTAACAGGATTTATTGCTTTGTTTGCTCTTATACAGAGGAAGTATTTCCATTTTTGCTACCATTAGTAGTTAAACAAATACAACTGCTTCCTTATAAATCATGTGGAAACAAACAAAATTGATAATTAGTAAAAATAAGGAAGACATGGTATTATAAAATGACTTTATTTTAAGAAAAATATCTGTTTATATTTAGGGTGTAATGAGGCATAATTTTTTAATTAAACCTTTATCTTAAAAGACTAGTCACTAGTATAGAGAAATGTTTCTTTATAAATGATATTCATATTGCAAAGTCAACCTTACGAAAGCTAATCTCCTGTACCTAGAATTCTAGCTGGTTCATTGAATAGTATAGTTTAGATAAAGCATTGGCCTTTCAGCCAGCACTTAGGGAAATTTAGGCAAGTCTTCTCTCCTGTGTTTCATCTACAAAGTGGACAGTGTTGAGAGTGGAGACCTAAGATCACATGATTTTGAGCTGTCCTTTTGTTTTAGAAAGTCTTGTAAAACAACTGTAACACACAGGCACAGACACACACACACACACACACACACACACACGGGGGGGGGGTGGCATTTTAATAGTTCAGTTACTCCAAAGTTTAGTCAAGGATTTAAGCCAAGATTCAAGGAAATAACTCATACTGACCCATAGATTCTCAGCAAAATACACCACCGTGGAAAATCTGCTTACAAAATATCAATTCATAGTTGAAATAGTATTTCTTTTGCTCTTACCATTGTCTTTTGTACATAGTGAAAATCTCTTTGGTAAGAAATTGAAGTTAATTCTCACTACTATAGTGTAAATGAAATGTATTGAAAAATATGGTTCAGTGAGGACAAGACTTTCCAAAGGAAAGTAAATGGGGAAAACAAAGGAGGAATAAATGTTCCCAACATCTGGGTCTATATTTAGCAAAGCTTATAATGGCAAAAAGAAAGAGTTTCTGAGTGACTGATGTATTTTAATGTTGCTGTCATGTTAAACAACCATTTTTTTTTACCAATCAAATCAACATCTATGATCAAAAACCTAGTTTCTCTTCATCGTTTACAGAAAAGCACTAGGTTGCTGTTAGCCAGTATCATTTTTCAAAATTTACCTACTAATAATGACCTTTCTGGCACTCTTTTGTAAGCTGTACCACCAGCTGTATATTTCTATTCAATGAAAGGCTGGCTAGGGATTCAATGATTTATTACAATGAAATAGATTATATGGAAATATAAATAGGCCTAGTGGTCTTGGGACTTCACAGAGGGGAAAAAACAAGCTGCTCCCATAAATAATTTTCCGTGAACAGAAAACTATTCACAAAGGTATTCTCTTGCAGAAAAAAATAAAAATTTGAAGTACTTTCTCTGGTAAAATAAATAGCTTCCTTGTGAGATGGCCTACATCACAGCATGCTAAGAACCTCAACCTCACTGCCAAGGAAGATTTAGCACGGACAAGTCTTGTACAAGAACCTTATCGACAGCCAACCCATATGGATAGATGAAGCGCCAAATTAATTTGGAAGGCAGAGTCATGTTCAAGGATTAGTAGAAGATAATTTGTATTCCAGCCTTTGTGACATTAAACTCTGAATTCTTTGACCACCACCATAATCAGATTGCCAGTACTAACAAAGTTCAGCTTAGTTCACCAGCCTGACCTGCATTTTACAGACACTAATGTGGAGGTGATTTATGTGCATATCCACGCAGACCTTCACCTGCACAGGTTTGGTTGGATTCATCTTCATTGCTACCACAATCATTAGCTCCATCACAAAGCCATCTCTTGGGGATACAGCGATTATTCTGACATTTAAACTGATCATCAGGACAGCTATGATTGACTGTGGGAGAAGGGAAACAAGATTAATTAAAAATATGAGTATATTGAATCATGGTTCCAAAACTGCAGTAGTAATTGTATTATTATAGTATAATAAATGCTATAGTCTTTGTCATGCCTTATCTCAAATTCTGTAGGAAATATTAATATCACAATCTTTATTGAATGATAAGATATAGAAAAGATCAAGAATTCATATATCAATTGAATGGAAATGCATTCATTTTCATACCTCCTCTCAAACCATTGTTAATGCTCAGTTGGTTTTCCACTCCGAATCAGAACTGGGCACTTAATTCCAAAATCTTTATCAAAAAACATTTGAAATCAACTTCAAGTTTTAATGCTAAACATAGCAATGATGTCTCAGAGTAACTAGTCATATACAGTAAAAATACTATTTATGTAAATCACACAATCATGCAAGAAATTCTTAAAATGTTAAATAATTTGATTCTGTTTCAGCAATAGTTTCTTAGAATTTGAAGGAAAAACTTCAGAAATACATACAGATAGAAAGATAGATGACAGATAGATGGATAGATAGGCAGATAGATAGATGATAGATAGATATAGATGTACGTATTAGAGCTTATGAAATTGTATGGAGGTAGTAAGGAAGTGTGTAGATAGTCAAGGGGATCTAAATACAATCATAATATATTGCTTAAAATTTGCAAAAAACAATAAAATGTTTAAAATAACATATGTGAAATTGAGTTGATGCTATGAGATTCCATACTTTTTGGGTTTTTTTTTTGTTTTTGTTTTGTTTTTTTTTTTTTTTTGAGACAACATATACCTGTAGCCAATCCCTCCTGGAACCTGCTATGTAAAGCAGGTAAAGTTGACCTCAGTCTCACTAAGATTTTCCTGCTTCTGCCTCCTGAGTGCTGGGATTAAAGATATTTGTTACCATGCTCCACTATAATTTTAATACAAAGGATTCTCAAATGCTTTCTCTCTCATGAACAACGAATAAGCATTCAACTACAAACAATATTGACAAGGAGAGCAAGCCCCATATGGGAAGCTGCACACAGCAGAGCCTTAAAACTCCAATATCTAAGCACAGTAGGGAGCTTTTCACCTTAACCTTCTAAATATATTTTCCCAGGATCCTAATGCAAGCTCTTCAATATCTGTTTTACAATTTCAACATTCTTTTTAAAAATATTTTTTCAAATTCTGTGTTTGAGTGTTTTGCCTGCAATATTTAAGTGCACCCATGTCATGCAATGCCTACAGAGATCAGAAGAGGGCATGAGATCCCCTGGAACTGGAGTTATAGTCCATTGTTAGCTGTCATGTGGGTTGTGGGGATTGAACCAAGATCCTTTGTAAGGGCAGCCAGTGCTCTTAACTACTGAGGCATCTCTCTAGCTCCACAATTTCAACATTGTTTTAAAGAATGCAGTAGTTGTACTTCTCTATGATGAAAACATCTACAGTTGAACCTCTACACCTAAGGTTCATGGAACATAGTGGAATGAGAGGTAGAGAGAAAACTAATGAATCCCTCAACTCCCACAGTGAAATTTCTTTATACAGCAGAGTGCGATGCACACAGAAAGCCACAACTGGCCAGGTTTTAAAGAATAAGAGTCTGCAGAGTGTGTGTCTCTGAATAGGATTCCTATATTAAACCTCATCCATCCATGGGTTCAGGAACCATTGCAAAAGAGGGGGAGGAAAGATTATAAGAGCCAGGGCTGGTTCATGCACATTGGAAGCAGAAGGTTTCAGGCCACTGGAAGCTTCAACATATGAACTCGTGGCAACGGTGGCATGAAGCACAGGATCCATGCCAACTCAATCAGACAAGGGCCCAGAGTGGAGGGAGAAAAATGGGTGGCAGTTTGGCCCTAGATTGAGAACTATTGGAGACTGATTACTACTAGGTGAATGATAGTAGGGCTTACCAATGATAGGCTGACTAGACTCCAGGGGATGAATTTTCACTGAAGGACATCTGGGCACAAATGCCTGACTGGATATGATTTAACATGTATGGCAGAGCACATTGGGGGGGGGGGAGCATGGGTTGGGGAGGGAGTCTAAATTTGACTAAGAACTATTGTATTAAATTTAAAAAGCTCAATAATTTTTTTTAATTGAGAAAATTACTATTTGGTTATTTTGCTTCATAGCAAATATATGCACTTTCAGTATGTTCCTATAAAACAGTTTTTCTTTAAATTATTGTGGTGATAAATTGGTTTTGATATTTTATGGAGAGTTTTTATTCATGCAAAGGAAAAGGAAAGAAAGAAAAGTTACTCTCTTGTATTTGAGCACGGTGCACATTTTCTGCCCATATACAATAAAGTTTTTGCAAATATCAGAAGTCAACATTTTAAAGCATTAGGATTATGCATATGCACGCTAGAGAAACACCACCAAGGACATTTACAGCAGTCTGCAATCCTGCATAGTGAGCAGGCTGAAGCAGGAGGATTTCAAGTTCAAGGCCTCCCTAGGCTACAGAGGGATCTCAAGCCTCTTTTCCATTTTCATTGATGAAATAAGTAGAAATTCAAACACAGAGATGAAATATTGAAGGATAGTTAGTAAATGATAAAACTATATTCTAGATGTGATTAACATACAGAATAGTCCTCTGAAATTGCCTGTTTAATATCGGAATAGTGACCATGAAACCCAGAAAAAAAAATGTTGCTCAGAATAGCTGCAGTGCTCATAAAGGATGTCCTGCCAGGTGGCCCGAGACGACTGCTCTGTACTTCCTTGTTTATTTAGTCATAAATCCTCCCAGGGCCATGATCTCTGTGCTGCTATTGATGCTTTGTATATGCTACAACCTACTGTGCCTCCTCAGGGAGATATTAGTTTCTTATAGATGCACCTGATAAAGAAGCACACTATCGCAATATAGTTTGACAACTACTATAATAAAGGACTATACAGGAGATAAATTATTATATCTAACTAGGCTGTACTGAGATGTATTGGCGGGTAAAAATAATTCCATAAGAAGGCAATGAGAAGATATGATGAATTCCATACACTGTGAATTTTCAGTTCAGTGTCATAAAGAAAAACGAGAAACAGTTTTTGAGAGCTACTTGTAATTCAACTCGGTAAGAACAAAAAGTGTAAATAAATTTGTAATGGACAACAGGCCAAACATTTCCATGTAAGACATAACCTGAGGTACCTCATAGGCTAGTCAGAAAGTTAAGTTACTACACTAACACGAATTTGATCCTGTTAGAACTATTCTAGAAGCTTATTTAAGGGAGGGACTGGTGGAGATAACAGAAGTACTTGGTAACTGAAGGCAGGGCCTAATTCAGTGAGTGAAAACTGAGATACAGTAAAGATGAAATTTAGTTGCAAGAGGTAAGACATTTATAGATAGAATTGGATATCAATGGAAGATGAGATATAGGAACTTAGAAAAATCCCTTGGCTTTGGTGATGTAATAGCAAGAAACGATTGTATTCTGGAAGAGTATAATGACTGGAAATTTGAATACTATACTTAGCAAGATGAGTTTCCTTTCTAGGTTGTGTGACACAGTGGCACAGATGAAAGCATCGGTGAAATATTTGTCCTCTGCACAGGTACTGGGTGCCCATGACTGCAAGGAACCAATTGCAGTGACTGTTCATAGAACGACAAGTGATAACGTCATCCAGTAGGAGAGGGGAAGCTAACTCAAGCACTAAGTCACATGCCGCCTGTGTAAAGCATTAGCAAAACAACATTGGGCCTCAGACTAAATGCTCTTTCCTCAGAAAAACTGTTGATTATTGTGTCAACTTAGCATCCACTTTGTGAGACCACACAGATGTTAAATGAAAATAATGAATAATGTTAAGGTAACCATTCATGCTTGGAATTCAAGGGAAAGTAGTGTGTGTCCATGCTTTAATTATCATTTATGCACCATGAACAGCATAATATTGGAAAATGATTTAAAAATGTATATTCTTGATCCAAAGCACAAATGGTTACATGATATAAATAAGCAGGTCCATTTTCTCTATTCTTTTAAAGGTATCTTCAAAATTTTATTTTCATGTTCAAATTTCAAAAAACATATTAAAAACCTGAGTAATGTCAACTCTGAATTAGTTCAGTCACTTTAACCTGAAAAAAATGTCATTATTTGAATCAAATTTTTAGACTATGTAGCTATGTACCTATGTCAAATGTAATGATTAAGGACACATTTGCTCAATGCATGCCTCTCTTTCTTTATATAACTCATTTTATTTCTCTTAAAATCATTCAGATCATCAAAGTGTGAATTTCTTTATTCTCACCAAAACATGAAAATGTTCCTATTTTAGTACACAATAAAAAGTTAAATGGAAGCCACAGGTACAAACGTGATACTCTGTGTCTATCTGAGTCTCCCATATGTGTCTTTAACCATGGCTTGAACCAGTGAAGCTAGTCAACAATGCATTCCAAATTCATGTCTGTTTCCTTGAATTTATTCAAGTACCTGTTGCCAAAAAGTAGTGCAGTGAAATGTGACCGTCTGTGCAAATAATTCAATCTTGAAGGAGGTTGAATTCATTTTCCATATTTTTAAATTTGCAGATTCAAAGGTGTCCATTAGACCCCTTAGATTGGACACACTCTTTAACACCGACTTTGGAAAGGATGGGGACACATGACAAATACAAATCCTTAAAGCTATAGAAAGGAGGTGCTCTATGGATTAACCTTAAACAAAAGATGACTGGGAAAGAAAGCCAAGTTAATTTACATCAAAGATAGCTTCAGACTTCCACAGGGTGTCTTGGTAATCCATACACTCACTCAGGAAAATAGTTTCAGATTATTTGAGAACATACAGCAAGTGACGGAGTCCTCATCGCTCCCATCTAGACAGTCATCATCACCATCACATAGCCACCGAGCTTGGACACAGTGTCTGTTTTTACAACGAAATTCTCCGGGTTTGCATATATGAGGTATTATTTCTCCAGGATTAACTAGAGACAAAAGAGAAAAGAAATTGAGGTTTGTAAACAGTAGAAACTATGTAAATTGATTAAGCTGTGAATCTCCTCAAAGGGAGTGTTGGCTTTGACACCCCATAGAAATGTGACCACACAGTATTTCCCTTTGGCTTACTCCACTTACCTTGTTCTCCACATTCATCCAATGGTCCAAAATAGCAAGATAGCCATCTGTTTAAAAATTATACACACACACACACACACACACACACACACACACACACACATACACATACACGCACACATTTCTAAGCTGAATTCATGGGTGTGGGTGGAGACAAAATGAAAGAGGCATAGGTCAAAGGAGCAAAATTGCAAAAATGTAAGTTGAATAAGTCAACACATCCAAGATATGACATGAGGACTATAACTATAATATTGTATTATGTACTAGAAATTTGCAAATAGCAGATTACAGGTGGCCTTGTCACACATCCTCACAAAAAGGTAGCAAACAGAAATGATGAATATGTAAATTGGTTTGGATAGAGCAGTCCATTCACTATGTATATCACAGCAGCATGTTTCTTACTTTAAATATGTACAATAAAAATGAGATGCTTGAATGTAAAAATACTTTCCCATCAGAAGAGATAACATCCACATGAAATTTACAAAGCAATTTTCACATTAAGTAAAGACTGCTGTACTTTAATACACACAAAAAAATTTAAGGAATAAATATGACCTCATTTCTCTTTATAGAAAATATAAAACCAGACTTGTACTGATGGTCATCAATGAAATGTGAGCACTTATTTTTGCTGACAATAATTACTCTACTAAGAAACTTAAAGTTATCTTTTAACCAACTTGGCACCTAAACAGAAAGAACAGGAAAATACTACGTTCTCTTATGTTTGTAGCTTTGTTTTACCAAGGGCGTTCATCGATCATCTGGCTTATCCGTGTGAGAAACTTCGCTATGACAAATAATTGAAGTGCAGAATTAGTCACGGTACAAAGGCAGAGCAATAGCAGAAGGTTGGTAGCTGTATCTCTTGTGCAGAACTGAAGACGGGTCAAGAAAAACAGAGGACCAGTCACTGGTTCAAAGAAATATTATTCTAATCAATATTTCTGGGCTCTATGTGGTGGATTTCCCACCTCTAACTCATATTACTGAATTAAATGTCCAGACTTGAAGTAATTGTGACTTATCATAAATTGAATGTCCTCTTAATGTTCTGCCCTCTTTGAGTGAGCAGGGCAGAACCTAAGAAGACACAAAAATTCATGATGGAAGTAAATGATTTATATTTTTTCAACTGAAAAGGCCTTGACTTACCCAGGCTATCTTACTGCCAGGAGATTCTTTCATCCTATGCTAATGGCTTTAAATTTCATTTCTCCTAATTCCTGGGGGCTGCCAAACTGACATAAAACTTATGCACAGCTCAATCACAAGGGGTATCAAAAGAGTAAAAGTGGTCCTTCCACAGCCCTTAGCATAGCATTCCCTTGGTCTTTGTTTCTCCCTTGTAGCAAAGAATGGAAGGGAAAACATAACTTTTGAGCCAGGCCTGCAGGAAACTGTTTCAGAGTGGCACAGCAAGGAGCGAGGCTTGGGAGTCTGTAGGAACAGAAACAAAAAGCTACCGCCATGGGTCCAGCCTTCATTTCAATCCAAAAAGAATCACTATAATGAATGAAATATTCAGCTTGAACAAAGGTAACCCTGTGTTTCTCTGTCTCTCTCAGTAGGCTAACAAAGGGTGCATGGGCTGACAGGGACATTCTTTCCTCTTCTCTGTGAGTAACAAAACATCAAAGCAGCAATTTTTCTCTGATGCTGTTTCTTGAAGATCATCTTTCAGTACGCTATTGGGGGTGCGTGGGTGGAGGGTGGTGGAATCCAAACAAGAAATAACAAAAATGAAAACACAAAAGGTTGACTTTACCTCCTTGTATGCTTTATCATTTCACAGCTACTGTTTCAAATATTGATCTTAAGTATTACTAATATTATGTATGTATATTTATGCATGTCCTTAATATATATATATATATATATATATATAGTGTTATATGTGTCTATAAATGACTTTGATTTTTAAAATTTTGCATACAATTTTTCTAAGCCCTTGTCCGTTTCCCCACGGTATCTCTTCACATTTTGTATCTGCTTTGTGCTGGATTTTTTTGTTTGTTTTGGGTTTTTCTTTTTGTCTTTTTGAAGCGGGGTCTCCCTGTAGCCCCAGCTGTCCTGGAACTCACTATGTAGACCAGGCTGGCCTTGAACTCACAGAGATCCGCCTGCCTCTGCCTCCCAAGTGCTGGGACTACAGGTGTGCGCCACCATGCCCAGCTTGAGTTTGTTTTTTAAGGATGTTTACAGTATAGATAGCAGCCTTAATAGATAGAAATTATGAATACCGATCTAGAGGGCAGGTTTAATTAATTAATTAATTAATTTTATTTGCTGTTCTTAATCAGAATAGTATAGATAATGTCTTCCTCCTGTAGAAATATTGGGTTGAATTTCTAGATAATGCAGTTTGAAATGCAGGGTTTCCAGAGATCACTTCCTTTATTTGACACCCCAAAACACTCAGTTTCCTGAATCCACTTGAATGTTGCTATGCATACCAGCAGAATGCTTGAGGGAGAGATCACAAAGGCCCGGTATAAATGTGGAGTCTATGCTCCTTGATGTGCCCTTTGTGTCTGAAGAAAGACTCATTTGTCATCTGCTAGAATCCAAGGATCTCATGCTGGTCAATATTGTTAGCATTTAATCAAAATTAAATCCAAAATACTTTGCTGCTCAGTGCATAATGGTAAAGAGTGTTTTCATATGTTAATTTTCTATTTTTAATATGTGTATGCATATGTGATGTGTATGCATTTTCACATAGATATGAGTACACTGTGTGTACATGGTAGGGAGGCCTGAAGGTAATGTTAGGAATCTTTCTCAATTATTCTTCGCTTTATTTACTGTGGCAAGTTCTCTTGGTGAACTGAGAGCTTGCTTATTTCTGGTAGTTTAGTTAGCTAGCTTGCTGAGGGCATCTCCTGTCTTTCCCTTCTAAGTGATGGGATTACACAAGGCCACCATGCCTACTGGGCTGGGCTTTTTCTTGGGATCTAATTCTCATATTTGCCAGCAAGTAATTTATCTACTGAGCCATCTTCCCAGACTCTCAAGTACTGAATTTTTATTTCCAAAGTCTTCTGAGACTTAAAGCTTCACTAGTTGATTCTAGCACTAATATAAAATTTCAAGATATGATCAACAATTACAGGACCAAAAAAAAAAAAAAAAAAAGAACCATATCCTCAGTTCCGATTACCAGGTTCCCTCAGAGTTCATGCTGATGAAATAAGGTTGCTTTTCTACTAACAATGCCACATTGATGCATGAGATGATCAGGATAAAACGGCAGCTTAGAAATTCAAAATGTATGACCTGTTTGCCAGAGTTGACCTAACAATGTATATCTAGGTGGCAATGTCATCTATAACAGCATCCGAGTTGATAACTTCTAGACCAAAACATTTTAGAAAGAATATTAAGAGGAAACAAATACACTGAGCATCACATAAAAGACAATAGTTCTTCCCAAAATTAGATTAGTATTCTTGTTATAACTTGCAAAAATCTGTATGAATAACTTTGCAAATCTGATATTTTCACTTAAGATTCTTAAATACAGGAAGAACCATGCCACGTGTTCAAGAGAACAATGTCTAAAAGAATCTGGGCTTAGAGTTAATGCAAAAAGTAATTTGTTGCCTGACTTATTGGAATTAAGGGAGATTTCTAGCTTTGTAGTGAGAGATTCTGTCTCAGGGGACTGTATAAATTCTTTAGGAAAACAACTTCACTTCTGCTAGATCAGTAGCTACTTCTTTTCTCTTGCTGTCCGTGAGCATGGATGGACTCACTAAGAGTTCAGCAAACACAACAGATGTGTAGATAGAAAGATAAAAATGAACACTTGGTTAAAGCTCCAGGTATATCATTTTGTTCCAATGCTTTATGTGGCTGAATGTACATAGCTAGTACCTGGGGGTCTCAGCACAGCCATGCTCTGCTTTCCATATCTTAGCAAGTGCTGGAATCACAAAGTTCTTCAGAGCTGTGCCTTGAAATGTGAATTTGAATACAAATGCAAAAATCTATAATTCTGTCACCCGGACAGTTTACATGATCTCAGCAATAAGATACGTGTAAAATAACAAGTATGTAAACAAGCTCAGAAGTGAAGTAACTTGAATCATGATGACTTGCCTGGTATAAAATGTCATTCTCATACTTCCTAAGAAACCTGATAGCACTACAGAATCTGAAGATCTATGCCTGACTCTCCATGACAAAAGAATGGCAAATGTGTATGCTATAGTTATTATGTTAATTTATAAATGTATTTCTGTTTTATGTGTCTTAGTGTTTTGCCTGCATGCAAGTGCATCTGTGTCATGTAATGCCTGAGGACGACAGATGAGGGCATCAGATCCCCTGGAACTGGAGTTACAGATGGTTGTTATCTGCCATGTGGGACCAGATCTTCTGAAAGAACAACTGGTACTCTTAACCACTGAGGTATCTCTCCAGCCCCATTAAAGTTATTTTTTTAAACCTTGTAATAAAATAAAGGAAGACGCCTTCTTAATATATTATTTCCTTTATTGTGGTTTTACAACGCCACATATTTTGTTCATTTGTTCACTAATTTATTTATTTATTTATTATTTATTTATTTATTTATTTATTTTCTGTGTATTTGTAGGTGTCCTAAGAAACAGAACAAGATGTCAAATTACCTGGGGCTGGAGTAATTGGTGGTTGGGACCAAACCCAAGTGGGTACTGGGAACCAAACTCCAGTCTTCTGGGAGAGCAGAAAAAAAAATTCAAATTCTGAGCTGTTTCTCCTGTCCCTCATTCTGTATTTTAAACTCAGCTTAGCAAAAGAACTTGATATATATTCTGAACCCAGGTATGTTAAGCTGCAGTATATGTTGATAAATGCCTGAGTTTCTAATTTGCTTCTCCATGTTTCAAACTAGTGTAGTGATCTATGCCAAAGTAAGTTCTGTCCCCTTCCTTACTTAATAGGTTTGTTGTCCACTCTATCAAAATTACTACGACGCAGCCATATCAGCATTTGTCCTAAAGCAAAATTACTATAAAGTTTTCATGTTGCCCTACATTCTTCACAGGAAGATTCAATTGTTTCTGTAACACATTATTTGTTTATTTTTAAATTTTTTTCCTTTGTTTAGGAGTAAGGAAGCTCTTACTGTGTTTTGAGCAAGGAGACGAACAAACCTGTAAGAACACTTGAAGTTGTAGCTAATCAGATGCCATTATATCTCTCAGTTATATAAGGAGTATGGAAAATGCTGCTATTGCTTTTTTCCCTTTAGATAACAGTGTGATGACCTTTTATTAGAGAGAGCGGTCTTCTGGGCAGTCAACCTAAGCGGTGTATAACCATCTGTGAGTTACTGTGCACAGAAGGCAGGAAATATCAGCTGAATGGGACTTCTAAACTTTTTATGGCCTTAGACTTTTTACTACACATTAGATTGCATATATCCCAGGACCTAAGCCTTGTCACAACTGAACAGATAAATGGCTCACCACACTAGAGCATCGTGTCTCACAGAGGATTAAATCTAGTATTCCAAAAGCTGGTAAAGATCACAGAGAATTGCTGACACCTTACTTATCCCAGGATAAATAGTATCTCAGTGGCTTTCATTTCTGAGGGTGCCACACATTGAAAAGATTTGTCTTTTCTTTGAAGCAACTACAGAAGCACTTGAGAAATTACTATTTCTTTACTTCAACCAAAATAATCCTTCTGATTTATAAAATAAGAAATATCATCCCTAAAGCCTAATTTCTTTGGGAGAGATCATTTATGTATATTCTCATTTTCAATTTTGTTTTTCTTGTTTCTCTCCATAATTGTCACGAGAAATATAAATTTAACCAATCATTGCTCAACTAGCTTTATCTGTGCTGCTCAGAGGTAATACATGCCAATTTGCCTTGTTACAGCCAACATCAATTCCAGTTCTAAGTGGATTCAGTCATGATAGAAAAGAGTTGCAAGAACAGTAGAATCTACCCTGGCTCCTGATTCTTTCCTTACTTGGCATTAGAAGTCATCCTTAATCCATTCTGTGACATGCCAGTGCTTTCTGGTGAGTACATACTTTTCCTCATGCAACCTTAAGTTTCAGATTCATTAAGAAAAAATAAATCCTGGGTGTTTTGCCTAACCTGACCATCTCTCAATCATGTCTCACTGGTTGCAATATCTCCCTTCATGTTATTTGGTAGACAGAGATTACTTATGCAACTCAGTTGATTACTTTTATGAGCTAGCCTGAACTGATACAGAGCCCAGAGAAATTGGCATCAAGGAGGTGTTAGTGGCATGCTGGTTCCCAGTTTGCATTATACACTAAAAGCTGTAAACTCCATGTTCCATATTTCTGCATTTTAATTTTTCATCAGGACATTATAGCTAACATATCCTGTTCAATATTTTCATTAAATAAATAGAAACTGTAATAATGTGTATGAAAACACTTTGTATTCTTTAAAAAATTAGTAACTATGCTATGTTTCAAAGAAACCTAGGCAGTTTGCATGTGTTATTTAAAGACAGAGATAGGGATTTAACAGGCAAATATAACAATTAGTTCTGAAATGAGGAGTTATTTTTGCATAATGATTCGACATTTTTCAATGTGAAAAGAATAGACAAAATTACCTTTCTTTTCCCTTGGGTTTGCCTTATTTATCCATGAATTAGAGATACTAGAAAGAAACCAACAGTTTCAGAAAAATTTCTTCTAATTTACTGTATATGATTATACACTGGTAAATTCTGATAACAAATTTCTTAACATCAGGTTTGTAATAAACACTGAATATAATATATTTTCCTTACAAGCCAAAAACAACCAGATTTTTATTTTCATAGAGACACCCAGTGATACCCTGAAGTGATCAGAAATAAACACTCTTATCTTTTTGGTGTCTTGATTCCCATAGATGTGCTTCATGTCTGGAACATTCCAAGTGCCGCTGAAGTGAGTGGTCAGCTAGAGTCTTTTAAGATATTTGTATCACTGGCTTCGAAGAAGCTAATGAACATGTTTTGTTTTCATTTAGTTTGGCAGTTATAGCAAGAGAAGTACTACATAAAGCAGAGTATGGGATCAAAGTCCAGAGTCAAAATGAAGAGAAGCTTCTAGTCACTATTGCAGACAAACAATATTCAAGACTTATTTACAGCTTTTGAGAAAGTGGCAGGGACATTTCTAATACAGTACAGTACCCCCAAATGCCTTTTTCTTCTAATATTTAAACATAGTTAATCTTGGTGAAATAAATATGAAGTGCAAACTTGATTAAACAGGTGACATCTAACAATGAAGAATAGGAAAGTAGGTAAATAAGCAAAGGCAAATTTCAGCCTAAGGTGTTTATGGGAAGAAGAAAAGAAGCATTTGTCACTGACTACATGATGTACAAGATATGTCTAGGCTTGCTTTATGTGTACCTCTAGGGTGGCAGATACGTCTCCTCTCAGTTACAGAATTATTCTAATGCCTACAGCCCTAGGAGAGGGACAATGTTGTGTCCAGTGAATCTCTTACTCCACATTCCACTTGCAGTGTAGGAAGGGAGCAAACTTTGAACTCACAATAGATGAAGAACTGATTCTTAACCAACCACACATATATTTTGAGTCATGAGAAGGTATATAGAAATAAAAAAATTATATAATAACTACAGTTTATTAAAGTATTGATGAAGTTCCTGGCACGAGTCTGCTTTTAGATTGTTCTGTGGTATTTCCTTTCCCTTTGTTTCCTGTGTATCCAAGTTCATATTTTATTTCTGCTTATCTCAGTGCTTATCCTAGCTGATTCTATGCTTATGTTTCCTATGATTTCCTATTTTGTCTTTTCTATATGCTGTCTTTTACTTTATTAATCTTTTCTATATTCATACCAATGTAGATTTAATTAAAAAGCAATCTATAAGTTCTTAATTGAGCATAAGAAAGAAGAAAACAGGAAACATAATTACAACGCAAATGATCCATATAATTATGATCCACATAATTCAAATTAAGGCACTAATTATAAAGTTTCATGCTAAAATGCAATTTTGATGTTAATATCTGATAAATACACCAATATACCTCCCCTTGATTTCCTATGATGAAAAAAAAAAAAACAAAGTTACAAGATCTCTAAGAGTTTGGGCTCCTGATCATTCTATAGATGATAGTGTCCCAGGAGGAATTTAACGTTGTACAAGTTCAACAAGATTAGATTTAGAGATTCATATAGGATACCCTTTGAGTTATGTAATTGAAAATTAGAAATCTGTCTGTCTTCAGGTAAGAAAATAGGTCTTTGACTTCTGCAGTGAAGACTATAAGTCTATAAATCTGTAAATCTGTATCTATAAAAAAAAAGAAGAGGAGGAGGAGGAGAAATCATTTTCAGTACTATCTCCCATCTTGAGAGAGTCTATCAATGCAACAAACATTAAGAGAGTATCTGATGGAATCGTGTGTGTGTGTGTGTGTGTGTGTGTGTGTGTGTGTGTCTGTGCCTATGTGTGCCTATTTGTGTCAGTGTGTCATATGTGTGTATATGTGTGCTTTATTCAATCTTCTCAAAATGTCAGAATTATCTATTTAGGTCAATAGAAGGTCCTGTATTATGACAGAAAACCATAACTAAGTGAATCCTTGATAAGAATATTATATTGTCACACCTTTGCTGCCAGTGACTTAGGTGAAATTAAGCCCAGAAAGCCATATGACCCAATTTCAGTTGTTGAAAAGCATGCTTACTACCTGTCTGTTGGAAAACGATGGGTTTTGATAAGTCTCTTCTCATAAACAGCAACAAAATAGGAACAAAAGCGTAATACTTGTAACAAAGAAAGAGAAGCCATCATCTCGTGACTCTGTAATCATATCAACCAACTCCTTATCCTAATCCTTCATCTCTTCATATACATACATACATACATACATACATACATACATACATGCATCTTATTAGCTTCATTTCTCTTGGGTCTCTATTGGCGAGCCTTATGACACAATTTGAGATTTAAGTCATTCCAAAAGCTTTGCTTTAGTAATCAATACATGCATAATATTATGGCTATTATTGTGATTAAGAGACAATTTAGGGTAGAAAATCACCTTGGAATATTAAGTGCAGTACAATGTGAGCAAAAGCCAATAAAATTGTCTTTAATTCAAATCAACCAGTCCAGTTAATTCTCTGCTTTCTTGGTGTTTGAATTCCTTAGAAGTCTATTTTTAGCCTCCCTCCTTTCTCTTTACCTCCAGTAACATATATTTGACCTGATAAGCCATCTAGTCATTTTAAGGCAAACAATCGTCATGTAACATCTGTTTAATTAATAAATATGTGGTTTCAGTTGCAACTGCTGAAGGTTAGACTGATATGTGATATCAAGATAGATTTATTTCTGTGACATAGACATATTTAAATGTTCTACTGAATTACAAGCAGCAAGATAGGACAATATGCAGTATTACATCTTTACCATTGTTCCCTTTGTGTTAGGAACTGAGTCACCTAATAAAGTTTAGAAAGGAATTACATCAAAGCAATCGTGTGAATTCCTCCTTGCAAGTTTGATTTTTAATCCAGCTAAATCCATTTATTTTTTATCTTCATGGTGGGAAAAAGCCCACACTCACAATGGGTATGACAAGAAATGAAGCTTACATGTGCAACTTGTCCCATTTTCATCCAAAAGCTGGTTGTCAGCACAAGCACACACTCGGCCTGCTGGAATGGCCAAGCACAGCATGCTGCATCCCCCATTGTTTATGCGGCACATATTGTCACCTGCAGAAGAAGAGAAAAGAATTTGTCACAGAACTCAGATTCCAACTGAGGTTAGCCAGCTGAAGTTTATGAAGGTTTTTGAAATAATTTATTTTGAAGGCTGTGCTACCCAGGATGCCTTTGAACTCTGTCTTCCTGCATTTGCCACCTGAGTGCTGGGATTGCAGGTGTGTGCCACCACACTGAGCTTCAGGCATACCTTCTTCCCATGAGATGTACATAGGCATAAACACATGCACAGATGTGTTGTATAGATTCCATGTTCATGAATGCTGTCAACATTCTTTCTGAATAGAAATGGCATTCAGAAACATTTAAGAATGTACGTTGCTTTGGAATTTAAGAACATTCCAAAATGCTCTTTGGCATTTGGAATGTATGTTGGCTGGAGAAGGTCTGGGTGCTAAGTCTAAGTGCCTACGAACCAGGGGCCAAGGAGGTCGACTTGTGTCTAATTTGGACATTACCCCAGATTATTCTCACAGCAGTGAGCCTGAGTTCTTTGAGACGTAGAACATTACTCTTGAAATGTAAAAGTAGAGCCCCATTGAATACGCAAGCACATGTGATAGGACAGGAGGATGTTTTCTACTGGGTAATAAGTATACTGGCATGTGAGTGTGCTGGGGCTTCCAAGAGTCATAAGCTATCGGTGAATCTTTAGAATGAGAAGCTTGCTGGTATCAGGAAATATACAGCATACACTAGCAAAAGCATTGGACCAGAGGACTTGAAAAACAGACGTATTGATGAAGCACAAAAAAAGTGTAATTTATGAAGATGTTATTCATGAACCTACGTGAAACACTCATAGTAAATCTCAGACAATACCAAAGGCTGGGGATATGGTTTATAAAAGTTGAGCTAAAACAAAATAAATTTTATCAGAATTTTGACATCACTTATTTTTCATGTTTTGGCCTTAGCCTTAGCCTTTAATGGCTGTACTATCCCTCCAGCCCAGACATCACTTATTCTTACAAATTGAAAAAACAATTAAGAAAATGTACTCTGGGGGCTGGAGCAAATGATTAGCAGTTAAGAGCACTGGCCGCTCTTGCAGAGGACCCGAGTTGGATTCGCAGCATCCACATGGCTGCTAACAACCTTCTGTAACTCCAGTTCCAGGGAATCTGATGCCCTTTTCTGATCTTTGCTGTCATTACGCACACATGGTGCATTTAGATACATGAATGCAAATTAGTTGCACATATAAAATTAAATAAATAAGTAAATGTTAAAAGAAAATGTACTGTCAAGGAGTAGGGGCTCTTTCCTGTCATCTCAGCACTTGGGAGACAGTGATAAGAAGACTATTGTGAGTTCCAGGTCAGCCTGGGAACACAGTAAACCCCAGGACCGCATGAAAAGTCAGGTAAGAGGGTAGGTAGGAGGGAGTAAGGAAGGAGGAGGGAAGGAAGGAGGGAGGGAGAAGGAAAGAGAGACAAAGGAAGAAAGGGAAAGGTGAAAGGAGACAGAATTGGAGAGAGACAGAGACAGGGACAGGGACAGAGAGACAGAGAAAATCTAGCTACAGAGTTCTATCTCAGTTCAACTTATATAGAACTGTTAAACACTTGCAGTGCAGTTGTCAGAGTGATTATCAGGTCATCTTATAGCTACCCTTTTAAGGTATCAATATATACAATGTTTTATTATATTAGAAGTAAAACATTTAACACTAGGAGCTTTAATTACGTGAGCCACAAATATTAAATGACTAAGCATAAATTAATAGTTAAAGTGTAAGTGTCGATAATATGACTTAATTAACAATTTGGGTTAGTACTTTGTGAAGCAAGGGATAGAATTTCCATGGAGAGCACTGTGAGAAAAGGCCCCCACTCTGGTGCTATATGCCACAAATACCCCACAAATATATCTATATCTAGATAGATAGATAGATAGATAGATAGATAGATAGATAGACAGATAGATAGATGACAGATAGATAGATAGCTAGTAGAGATGATAAATAGAAAGTGTGTGTGTGTGTGTGTGTGTGTGTGTGTGTGTGTGTGCTCAATGCAAACTCAAGCTAGAGAAAAGCCCAGCATGGAAGTGTGACAATGAGTAAGAAGTCCCAACTTTAGCTGAGGAACTATTGGCAGCTTATCTCTACTAGGTAAGAGAGAGTTGTTCTTATTTAAGGGACACCTGGGGACACAAATTTGACTCAATAGACCTTAAAAGATATGACAGAATTCATGAAATCTGGAGAGGGATCCTTTGGAGGAGTTGCAAATATGGGAGGGGGTTCTAAATATAATCAAGATTTATTGTATGAAATGTGCAAAAATTCAATTAAACCGTTTTTAAAAACACACTTCAAAGCTAAGGCAGAGAATAATTCATGCAGTTGCATCCATATCTAAGCTTAGGGAGGTGATTATTAATCTTAGCTCAGGCTTCTTCTAATAGGAATGTAGAAATGTTTCAAGCAGTTTCCAGACACAGCCATGCTTATTCAATTATTTTGGTATAAAAAAGGTATAACTTTACATGGCACTCAGGCTCTCTCTGCATATTCACAATATGTACAGCATTAAATTGCATATTCAACATTTAGTAGCATCCATACTTCAGAAAATTAAGATTAATTCACAATATTTTGGAGAATACATGATTGAAACAGTGAGAATTAAGAAACTTCTGACTACATCCAATATATTTTGTTTTAAAGGTATATGCTAAATATACATTTAAATCAATGGCATGCTGTATATTCACATTGAATAAGAATTTTCAGTATTTAGAGAGATTACCATGATTCAAAGTTTGAATTACATTCCCTTTATTTGAATATTACATACTGAAAATGATGAGCCAGTATTTGGACTGCTTTAATAGAAATTCAAAAGTTAAATTAATGAGAATAATTCCCTCTCTGTCATGAGAAGGGCCTGGATTTCTCTATTTTAACATCCCAGTGTATTTCTGATAAAGATGGAGATCATGAGATAGTGTTGCTTGATGTCATAACTTGTACATATTTCATATAAAATTATCTGCAAAACATGATGAAATAACTGCTTTTCAAACACACTGTTAAAATTTGGTTATAACTCTCAAGGGAACCGGTCACTAATGTATTCATATCCCCATGCACAAAATCCATACGGCACCCATCTCAGAGCTGGTTGCCTTATGTTACCTTTAAGCTAATATAACTCATTTTTTATAATATTTATCTAGATTTTATCTCATTTGCAAGAAGGACTGCTCAATATCTCAATGTCCCAATAATACATCCAATATGTCAAAGTGATAAGTAACTCTTACTAAAATTATTTTGTCTTGATAATTGCAATTATCGTTCTTAATAAAAAAAAATAAGATTTTTGTTTAAATTCATGTTCTTAAATTTTAACTTATTTGCATAAGCTAAAATAAAGTTCAATTAGCAAGGACAAAAAGTTTTTTGGTTTTTTTTTTGGTCTTTTTGAGACAGGGTCTCCCTGTAGTCCCAGCTGTCCTGGAACTCACTATGTAGACCAGGCTGGCCTTGAACTCACAGAAAGATTTTTTTTTTTAATATTTCTAAAATACAGTTAGAGGTTAACTTACCTTGGTAACAAATGCATTAAAAATTCAAATAGGAAATAAAAATACATGAATAGCAACTTTCACTGTCCAGTTCAAGATAGTGTTTGTTCTTGGATAAAAATATTTCTATTCCTCCCAATTGTTCCAGAATTAGAATTACTGTATTAGTGCATGGCATGGAGAGTTTTTGAAGAACAGTTGAGTGAATTAAGCTTAAAAGCTTCATAGTTAGCAATGTGGATGACAAGAACAACAGTTTCTCAGGTAAGTACAAGTTTCCAGTGCATGGGTAGACATAGACAGAAGAGAAAGGAGGGGATGGTAGGGGAGGGGAAGAAAGAGAAGGGAGAGGAGGGAGAGGAGGTGGAGGGGGAGAGGACGGAGGGCGGTGCTGTGAAGAAGTGTGACTGGTACGAATGTGACCAGTCATTAGCCTATGCTCTATCCAGGCAACATTGTCCATTCCTCATATGTTGTCCACATCCTATTACAATTAATATCATTTTTGTATTTCTTAAAGATCATTTACTCTTGAATTACTAATTAAAATTTAACATTTCATGCACTGTCATGATTTTTATAAAATTGCATTTGCATTTCAATGAACAATTTTAATAGGTTGTAAAAGATTGAGGCTCTGGAATGAAATAATGTACTTTAAGACAACAAATGCAGTTCAAATATCTTCAAAAGCTCTTATTGCTGTATGAATCCATATTGACAATATATGTATCAGAAAACTGAGGACGTAATTTAATCATCCTAAATTTATTAAAATGTATGCTCATTAAATTTTTACAACTATATCTGAATAAATGGGATAGCAAGTATTTAAACTCATAAAAAATCTACTACACAATTCACTAAGCTTTTTCTCTGCTAAATATCTAAGTTATGAGCCATGATAATTGTAGCATAATAAATATTAATAACATGAAAATAAAACAGAACATTATTATCTGTTATAACACGAATATTGTTGTAGACTGTTACAATTCAAATCATCTAAAATAACCACACATCCTTTAAATACACATAGAGCTAGATCAGATGACTCTACCAACATTGTTTTTAAAATAGCATTTTTGTGTCTGTAATGCACGTTTTTCGATTATTCATGTCTTCCTCTTAAAGCAAGTCAGTTTTTCTCAGTGCTCACTGTACTGCTTTTTGATAACAATTTGTTTTGAATAAAGAAGAACATTTTGGAGCCTAGAGAGATGACTTAGTGGTTAAGAGCAAATACTGCTCTAGCAGAGGACTAGGGCTTGGATCCCAGCACCCACCTGAGAACTCATAACAGCCTGGAACATCAGTTCCAGGGGATCAGACACTCTCTCCTGGTCTCTGAAGGCTGCTGCTTACACATGCTGCACATTAATCCACACAGGCTCACACACATACACATATATTTAAAAGAAAAATAAATTTTAAAGAGAAGAACATTTTTTCAGCAAAACTGAAATGAAATAAAAAAGGTATGCTTGGGAAAACCTGGGATTTCTATCAAATAGAATCCTCTAAGTTGCTCAATCAGGCTCTTAAAACCATAAGAAAGACATTTTTCTGATAACTAACTTTTAAAATTTGATTGAGTCTAGAGTGAGCTGGACATACACTCTTAATAAAACCATTAACATTGTCAAAGTAGAGCATTCAGCAACCACAGTGAAGAATTATTATATGTGCAACTGAGAAGCAGCATCATCCGGTTTCTAATACCTTGTTGCTTTCGTGGATCATAAATCTGAAGTCCAAACAGGGGAGGTCTTTCGTGCCTCAGTAACGTTACTTCACTGGTTATCAAATCTAGTTGAAAAATGGAACCATTCATGTAATCAGTCCAGAAAACATACTTCCCATGGTGTGACAATCCAAAAGGATGGTTCAACTCTTTTCCACTGTAAACAATCTGCAAAATTAGACACAATGTGAGCAATGAAAACTACCTTCACAGACATAGCTATTTAAAGACAGTAATATTCACATAAGCATACCAGATAAGGCTCCAACTGAAGTCTTAACTTATACTTTCTCTGAATATAGATTTTCAAATGGGATTTTGCAATGAGAGCATATTTTTCTGGGGTTTTGGAATGGAATTTATATGAAACAGTCTAAACATCTGTTCACATTTTCTCATTAATAACACTATATATATGATCAAGGATGCAAGCATCAAAATGACTTTGCCTAACTTTCATCCATCTTTTATAAAGTTGGGCTGAATAATTGTTGTGCACATGCACACACATAGACAGACACACACATGTGTTGTTCATCCAATAGCCATGTAGAAGGAAATACTTGACTGGAACTCTGAATGGTGTTTCCGGCAGTTTTCTAGGTCAATTGGGCCAATAAAAATTGGAAAAAAAAATAGAAAATGGCAGGAAAGGAATAAATATTTTAATTGCAGAGATAGAAGCAGATGGTCTACATAAAGCTGATTTAAGTTTGAGTTTGATTATTTTCATGCATTCCTTTATAGTCTGCGTATGATGTGCTAATGTTGAAATGAAGACATCATGTGATGAAGATTCAAGTCTTGCTGCACATAGAGATTATAGAAGGGGAGTACATTAGACTTCAAATAATGACCCCACTTTTTTAATCCTTTCACCATCTATAAAATCGTTTTGTATGTTATATGAAAGCAACTTTATTACTTCAATTTATATTGGTGAATCAAAGAACTTGTCTATATAATTTAAGAGTAAATCTCAAATTGTGCACCTTTAAAATAATTATTTGATTAAATTATCATATACTGAAAATTTGAGATAATATAGCATAGGCTAAATTGACAGCCATGAATGTGTGTGTGCATAATTTGATTATATATTGTATATATACTAACATTTTCATTTTCAAAGGAATCATAAATATTTAATTAGTACATGGTAAATACATGACATCAGATTAAATCTCAGTAGGATTTATTTTTCTGGGGAAAACGTTTTCAGCTCCATTTGAGTTAACCCATGACTGAAACAGTCTTACCTGATTGAAGTACTAGTCATTTCTCAGAAAGAATACATAATGAATAGGCTTAACCCACTCTTCAGTATTTTATTCCAGAAAGGATGAAAGTGTAATCACAATGGAAGCATTCTGGAAATGTCTAACTTTCTACTTCTTCACCATTTACCTCACAGCTGACACCACTACCCATTGTTGTGGGTGATTAGGTGATTCAAGACTAAGCACTGAAGTGATGTTTGGTCAGCTGTGCCTCTGTCTTACCCTCAACTACATAGTCCCTTAGTATTACTACACAATAGCAAATCATTTTATAATGATTCCAACAAATGAGGCAAATTCATCTTTATTCATACCCACCACTTTGAAGTTCAGCTCACCCCTACCACACATTTTAGTTTCAGAGACACCCAATTTTCTACTCAAAAATGCAGTATAATTATTTTCTCATAATGCATGCATTAAATTTCAGCTGCAAATATGGAATGTATTTAAATACAGTGGGGTTGTTTGGTCATAGAAAATCCATCAATAATGTAGAAAGGCTGCATTTAAAAACAGCTCTCCTATTTCGAGAGCTTCTTTTAAAAATTCCACAAATCCTGGCATTCCACAGTGAACTGGGTCTGGTCTCCAGGAAGCCAGTGCCAGCTGTACAGCTTAATGCTCAGCCTCCTTCAGCCACCCCATGGAGACTATTGGCAGCCACCTCAGAGGGGTAAAAATAAACTTGAAAGTATTTTTAACACAACACAACAAGGCTCTGTGGAATAAGCCCATGGCCAGACCAGCGGGGGCTATAGGCTGACCCTGTTTCAAACAAAAAAAAAAAAAACCCCAACAAAACAATAACAACAACAACAACAAAAAACCCAGCAGCATTTGTCTTTTACCTTTCTGTGAGTTCCATTCAGAAACACTTTTTCAATATGATCATAATAGGCATCACACCAGTATAATGTGTTGGTGTGAAAGTCCAGAGTTAAACCGTTTGGCCACAGCATCTTTGAAGTCACAAAGATCTGACGATTGAAGCCATCCATCCAAGCCTTCTCGATCCTTCCCACGCTGTCATCTATTTCATCTTCTTCCCAGTCTGTCCAATACATCCAACTAGGATGTGAAAAACAGGAGAGCATTGTGTTATCTCAACCAGCCACCATGTAAAGTGACACCTGCTCACATCTGGCACTTCCATAAGTCAATAACATTCTGAAATGTTCTCCCTAAATTATTAGCTGTCTGAACCAAAGTGAAGAGATGGAATAGAAATTTATTCCACTGCACCAGGCGTGGTAGACTCAATCAGAAAACCTTCTAGCACCAGACACCATCCATCCCCTAGACTCATGACAAAAAATGCCATGTGTTCATTAACATGACAGTAAGCACCAAACATCTATTTTCTTTAGTGTTGAAACACCAAATCTGCACCCTAACTTTTTTGAGGCATTATTGGTTTTAAATTTTGTTTACAAAATACATAAATTATTCTGTGACTAGAAAGTGGGTCAACTGACATGAGAACCCACACACAGTTAATGATCTACTTGGGACTTTATTTAAGCTCAGATGAATTAGTATATTTTAGACAGGCAGTTGGATTGCCTTTGTTTTAAAGGGCACAGTCACACTGGGTTTGTCTGGCTGGATCCAATTTTTCTTCCAGATGCAAATTATCTACGCTTTATTGCTGCTTATTATTACCCCAAACCCACAAAAGATGATTTAACTGCACATAAGTTTAGTAGCAGCAGGTTGACTGACCTTGAGATTTTGAGCTTTAATTTCTATCTCAAACAAAAACATGTGCTTTGAAAACAAATCTTTGTGTAAGCTATAACAGTGGGAAAGAGGGCCAGGAACTAATGTTCCAGTTCTCTCATGAATAAGGTTAAAACCCACCACATGTGTTATTCTGGGGTCATGTGAAAGTTTCCTGGTTATTAATTAAAATGAGGTTTCAGTTCAGGCACCTCGGACAGCTCTCTGAAATCCCAAAGCTTTTCTAAGCCTTAAGAGGCACCCCAACGTCTCTACCTCCCACATCCTTTGACCCTAAGGAAGTTTTGATGTGATTTGAGTAAAATTTGTATACAGGAATACAATTTTACAAGTGTTCAAACTGAAAGATTTTTATAAACAATTGAAAATTTGCTCTCCATTTTTTCATATCATTTAAGCTCTTTTAAATTCTCTTAACATTTCAGAACTTTGTTGATTTGCCTGTTGAGACTAGATGGGGGGAGTATTGACCTGTGGGTTGGCTTGGCAGTGTTCACTGATCTAGACTCATTTCCTACATGGGCATTCACTGTCTCAACAACTTAGGAACCAACAGAACAGACACCCCATTCTCTCTAATTCCATATAGGCACAGATACTTGATTTCTCTATATAAATCAATCATATGGAATAAAGAACATGGTACTTCATTTTTAATGACATTTTCTTAAAATCATTCTATTCACTTACTTAAAGCAGTTTTATTCTCCTTGATGAATTACAGGTTGTTGAAATTTTTAAAAATTTTATTTATTATTCTTATATTATGTATATGAGTGTGTGTCCTGCATGTGCATAAGTGCATCCATGTCACAAGGGGGCATTGGAGCATTGGATTCCCTTAGTACTGGAGATACAGATGGTAATTAGCCACCAGGTGGGTTCTGGGAATCAAACCCAGGTCCTCTGCATGATCAACCAATGCTCTTAGCTACTAAGCCATCTCACCAGCCCCCAGGTTGTTGAAATTTTGATAATCTCACATTTTATCTGTTATTTATGATGCATTCTTGATTGTGAATCAAATATACCCATGTACACACACACACACACACACACACACACACAAGATGGTACTCAACATTCCACATAAACTGAATGACTCTTGGTAGTCTATTGATGTTGTTTATTGTTTTGCTGTTTGAAGAAAGATTTGTTGTGACCTGATCCATTTATTACCTGTTTACTTTTAAATGGACAAAATATCAAAAATGTTTTTCTTTTTCCATATTTATGACTAAGTTTTAAAGTTACCATACAACATAATGAGTATGGTGATGGCATTTCAACACATCATGCCCTCTGCCCATACCCACCCCTCCCCCTTTGCTGATAGCATTCCTTCCCCCATAGTCCCATGTCTGCATTAACATTAAATGTATTTTACACCCTCTATGTTTCCTCAGCTCTCCCAATCTTTTTATGTTATCCTTTCTAATTTCAAGACACACACACACACACACACACACACACACACACTTATATGAGATAAAGTGTAGTATTTGTCTTTTCGAGTCCAACTTATTTTGTTTAACATAATGATCTTCAGTGCTATTCGTTTTCCTGGAAAAGTATTTCTCTAAGCAAGTGATACGCATCAGATAGAGCAAACATCAATGTCTGTGATAGCCTACATGCTTCATCATCTGTTTAAACATTAAAAGAACTTTATATTCAGTATAAAATGATTATTTTATTAAGTACATAAAATCTAAACATTGTGGCCTTTTTGGATACTAACCAATAGCTTCAGTTAATACAGATATAAAAATTAAACCTGCAACCTGTACTTTAGAGGGTCTCCCTATAGCCCCCACAGCCTGGAACTCACTACATAGAACAGGCTGGGTTTGATCGCACAGCTATCTGCCTGCTTCTGCCTTCAGGGTTTTGGGGTTAAAGGCATGTGTCACCATGCCTATTTTAAAATATAATTTCTTCATACATTCTATTCCCAACCTATCTACAGATAAGAATAAAAATAAGGTCTTCAGTTTTTTTGCAATGTTTTTAGTTCTTTTACAGTATTATTGAATGATATTGCATGTCTGCTAATTCCAATTAAACTTATAAATAAGAGATGGAAATATTCCTTATTCATAACTGTACTCTGAAATAGGAAACTTGGTTTTGTTAAGATTAATCATGCTCACACATGGAATTTCATTACTGAGTGGTGAATACTTGAAGTATTTAAATCCTTCAAAGCTTTCACTGTTGTGAAAGTAAAACTAATCTGTTTCCCATTGAAAACTTAATTTGACTTACTGCCGTTAGCTGGGAGGTGTAGTGCTATGGGATTGATTTAGGAGTTTAAGGATCCCGATTACAGGAAAATTGTACTCTGCTGGCATACATTACATAGCTGATGTCTGGAAAGTCAGAAATAGAGAGCTAGGATCTCTATTTGTGTGCCTGTGACGATGGAATTATTGGAAAGGAGTGAGTTCATTGCACTTATCGGCTCAGGGAACACGGTCTTTCTTTACATCTCCTCCTCCGGCTTCCCTGTTGCTGCCTGCCTAGTGGTTCAGTGTCTCCTGCTGCTGTAACCACTTTCCGGTCACAGTTCATTATGATTTAAAGGAAATTCTGGTTACTCAAATCGGTGGCTTTTCTCATGCCGCCCCACATTGCCATCAGTTGTTTTCCTAAATAGTGGATCTAAAAATGTGGCTTTTAGTCTCAAGCCCTTACAGTTAATCTGCCAGCTAAATACATCCAAACATCACCACATCGAAAAGTTCCTCATAGTTAAAACTTTATCTTACCATGCTCTTCATGCCGCTGCTCTGTATTTCATTAACACACACAGTATTTGTTTCATTATAGTATTTTCAAACAAAATTAGTTATTGTTAATTGTCTCTCCCTGTACTTCCCCATTGATTGACTTCCTCTTGAACCTCCACCCTCTACCCCTCCACATCCCACCCTCCCACATTCCACCTGACCCACCCAGCTCTGTGGAGCCTCATTTGTACTTCCATGGCACATTTGCTTTTTTTTTTTTTTTTTTGCCTCCTCTATCAAGTCTCTTTTTCTGTCTTGTAGTCTCCCACCTAGGTTTGTAGCCAATACCTGCACTTATCTCCACATATACGTATCACATAAAGATTCTGAGAGAACACATATTGTCAAGAACATGTGTCCCACAGGTGGCTGCTTCCTCCCAGGGGCGGGGCCTGCCGTGGGGGATGGACAACTGAGGGGCTGCTGGGAGCCATCTTGGGACGCAAGTGCAACCCGGGGTAGTGGGTAGCGGGTGGCGACAGGCGGGGAACACGCAGCGGGGCATATTCAAGGACAGAATAATTTGGCACTTATGGACCTGGGTCGAGACCGCTGGCCAGGCCTGGGCAAAAGCTAGTGATGACTGTGGGCAGTGCAGGGCCCAAACTAGGAGTGTAGAACGGCGGGGGGGGGGGGGGGGGGGGGGGGTGGAAGGCGCTCATTTCTTCGTAAGTGACTCTCCTCCCTCCCCTCAGGACCTCAGGACAGTAATAAATGCACGTAAAGATATGTTACACGGTTTGCCTGATAGCACAAGAGACCCCGAAAGAACTCTAGCTACAACACGAAATTTGTCTTTTGAAACAGTTACCTTGCCTAATATTTTCTAGTTCTATTGATTTTCCTGAACTTCTGGGATTTAATTCTTTTAACACTGAATATGTGTATATGTTCCACAATTCCATTGTCGATCTGTTGATGGACATCTAGGCTGTTTCTTCACTATTTTGAATAGAGAAGCAATCACCAGGAATGTGTACATATCTGCTATTCCACTTTATATATTTATATATGTTTGTGTGTGTGTGTGTGTGTGTGTGAGAGAGAGAGAGAGAGAGAGA